TCTCTATCCTCTCCTTTCGCCCCCTCCTTTCCGCCGAGCTTGCTGGCTCCTCAGGACCGCTTGGTGTCGGAGGCGGGCTTCAGGTTCCGGCGCTCGGCGTTCCGCGGCGAGGAGCCCAAGGTGGCCAGGACCGCAAATTCATGGGGACACGGTTGATCCGTTACAGATGGGTGTGCGTTGGTGAAACTGCGCGTCAGCGTGACAGTGTATAAAGTATCGAACCGATTGGTTGCGCCACTCCGTTTCGCGGGGCCAGCGCCGAGAACACGAGAGAAGCTGGGACCCCGGTCATGTCGTTGCCATGACTCATTGGCCGCGCGTGAACGCTGCTCTTGGCCGCTTCCCCAGGCGGAGCTGCATCACCGCCGCGCGGTGGTCGGTCCCAGCTGTCTGCCCGAGCGAGCGGCCTCCGCGACAGCGACACGGTGAATGCCCCCATCCCGTGTTCGCTTTGCCTGTTGGCGGCTCTGCCGGTGCAGGCCACTGCAGGGGCTCTGTGGACGGCGGCGTCTAGGGTTCGGGGCCCAGACACGCTCGCGTCGTGAAAGAATCAGGACGGGAGGTGTTGGCCGTTTTCGGCTTCTGGGGGCCATTGCTGGGCCCAGGAACCGTCCAAAAATTGCTCGGGGTGAAAGCCGGCTTTGGAGAAGGGGTCGGAGCTTCTGGAGGCCCCGAATTGCAAGATTCAAGACGTCGGATGTCTGGTGATGGATGGCGGCGGCGCTGCGCCTCCGCGCGCTGGCGACTGTCCGCCAGAGTCGCCGCGCACTCGACAGCCGAGTTAAACACTGCGTCCTCCTACACTCAGGAGGGGAAAAAACACACAGACACAATTAATCGGCGATTCCCAGAAAATATGGGAAAATATGGGAAGTAGGGGGGAAGACAAAAACCCAGAAAATATGGGAAAATATGGGGGATATGTTTATTTGTGTGTATTTATTTGTGTGTCCCAGTTCCCCTTCATACACCGCCCGCCGACTGACCTCTCCGGCGCTGGGAATGGGATCCCTCTCCCTCAGGCTTGGAGGCACCCAGGCAGTACGGTGACCACACCGTGTGGTGAGTCAGTGGGGATTCAGGGTGACTGCACTGCTTTGGGATTTGGGTAGATCTCCGAGGATGCCCCAGGTGATTGGGGCTCCCGAGGTCCCAAAACCGTGCGGTGACGGGCCCTGCGGTGAGGTCTTTGGGGATTCCGAAATCACCGCACGGTCTGTCACCGCGCCACTTCCCAGACATGCAATGTCGCAATGCGTTGATTTTTTCAAGGCGGGGTCTCCGGCAGTCCCGACCCCTTCCCCGAGGCTGTTTTTTCTTCCCGAGTCATTGTTTGACGGTCCTCGGGCTTTGCGAGGGCCCTTGGAGGCCGAAAACGGCGAGAAATATGCCGTCGTGTTTTCCACGTGCGAGCATCTGTGGGCCAGGCATCCCCGAGGGGTATCCCCCCCCTCAGGTGGTTGTCATCTCGCCGCAGACGCTCCACTCCGTGCCCATGAGCCTCTCCGTGAACACGGTCACCCCCGTGTACACTGCCGCCCTGCTCGCCGAGTGCGTGCGCCTGGAGCCGCGCACGCAGGGCGTCGTGCTGCTCGTCAAGCGCTGGGCCAAGGAGCACTCCCAGACATGTGGCTCTCGTAGGTTCTCGGCGGTTTTCAGCCTCGGGATGCTCTCCAGCAGCTGCGCCTCGCTGAGAGCGTTCCAGGATGGCTCGGAACGTCCTGAACGGCCGCCAGAGCCGAGACATGTTCGCGTCGTGCAGAACATCGCGACGTCGCTAGACGTCCCAGACATGTTCGCGTCGTGAAGAACACGTCGAGGGGGTTTTGGCTGTTTTCAGCCTCTAGGGGCCCTCGCTGGGCCCCAGGACTATCAAAATCGGCAAGGGATGAAAAGCGGGCCGTGGGGAAAGGGCCGGGATTTCAAGATATGCCGTATCTCCACAATTAAAATCGGGTGTTTGAGTTGATGTTCGTTTTCAGCTAGTGTTTCTCCGAGGACTGCAGACGGACGTCAGTTCGATACCAACCGACCTTCTGTGGTCCGAGAGGCAGATGAGACAGCGACAGCGGCTGTCTCGCGCGACGCCGTTCAGTCGGCATCATTGTGCTCCACTGCCTGTCTGCCGTCGTTCCACATATCCCCCCATATCCTCAGAAAGCCCAGGGTTCGCTACGGACTGGCTTCCCCCCAAAACGACGAGAGCCCTTCCAAGACCCTCCCGAAGCCCTCCGAATAGCCTCCCGGAACCTTTCCCGGAGGATTTCGGGAGGGTCTCGGCTGTTTTGAAAGGAGACCAGTCTGTAGCGAACCCTGGATTTTCTGACCATATCCCCCCCTCCTCCTGCCGCGCTTCTCTCGCAGGGCCCGGGGAGAGTCGGGAGCGGCGCCCTCCTTCCGCAGAGGACCGCGGCCTCTGCCACGTCGCTCGGGGCCACTTCTCGCTGTACGCGTGGACGCTGCTCTCCGTGTACTTCCTCCAGGCTGGCGAGGAGGGCCTGCTGCCACCGCTGCGGACCGAGAGGACCTCGACGGGTCTGGCGGTTCACGGTCAGGCCCATGGGCGCCCGGCCCTGGAGGAGGAGGAGGAGGAGGAGGAGGAGGAGGAGGAGGAGGAGGAGCAGGAGGGGGAGGAGGAGGAGGAGGAGCAGGAGGGGGAGGAGGAGGAAGAGGAGGAGGAGGAGGAGGAGGAGGAGGAGGAGGAGGAGGACGAGGAGGAGGAGCAGGAGGGGGAGGAGGAGGAAGAGGAGTAGAAGGAGGAGGAGGAGGAGAAGTAGGAGGACGAGGACGAGGAGGAGGAGCAGAAGGAGGGGGAGGAGGAATAGGAGGCCCACTCATGCGCTGCCCCCAGTTTTGTCCATGCCCGACGGGATCCCCGGAAGTCCCGACCCTTCCTCCCAGGGCTCATCCCGAGTCGTTTTTTTTTGTTACGGTCCCGGGGACAGGCGAGGGCCCCGCGAGGCGGACAGCGGCCAAAGAAGGGTCGAGATTCTTCATCGCCCCAAAAGCTCGTTGCGCTTTGGAGGGACAGGAAAATCCTGGGAACGGGCCCCTGTGTGTGTGGCCTCTACCCCTCTGGGCCCATGTTGCCTCCGCTGGTGGCCAGCTCACTGCCTGGCAGTGCTTCTACGGCATGGCGGATGACGGGAAGCGTCTTCGAGGTGCGAGCAGCGAGCTGGACGCTGTGGCTGAATCTGCATCATATCTGATAATCTCTTACGAATAGAGGGTGGCGGGCCGCACGGGAGAGAGGGTTTGCGGATCCCCCCGAATGGCGATTTCGCTTGAGACATCCTTACAACAATGAGATGTTCGCGACATCGCGCTAAACAAAAACAAGCGTTTCGCTAGAGACAGCCTCGAACAACGGAGATCTGCGAAACTCATCGATATGTAAAACATTGCTTTTCGCAGGAGGTACCCTAGCCAAAATGAGGTGTTGACGGAGGTGTATTGCTACCTCTTATGTTGAAAACTACGTTTTCGCGAGGGACGTCCTCAGAAAATGAGCAGCAGCACGGCGGACCAGGAAAAAGAACACGGCAGAAAATGTGCATGTCGATGGGGACATGCTCAGAAAAATAACGAGATGTTCTCAACATCGTCTTGACATCGTTCCTGAAGTGTTTCAAGATGAAAGGTGAGGACATGAGAGCCCAAAAAGGACCTCGATATGCCTCCAAGCGCGCCCTGATGACTGCCGAAAATGATGATGTCGCTAGGGAGATCTTCAAACAATGAGAGAGAGAGAGAGAACAAAACAAGAGAAACAAAACAACATCGTTTTGAAAACTGCTGTTCTAACATCGCCTTGGGAACATCTCTTGAAAAAGGCTTCCAGACGGCCCAAGCCAGGCTTCTAAAAATGACGATTTCGCCAGGGGCATCCTCTAAAAAGAGATGCGTGTGACATCGCATTGGCATCGTTTCTGATGGTATCCAAACGAGCCCCAACATGACCCCTAGAGCGCCCTCGAGATTCTTCAAAATGCGAATATCGCTCGATGGAATGCCCACCGGGGAAAGCTAGCACTACTTAGCGGTCTAGGAGCAATCCATGTGAGGTGGGCCACGGGAACGCGCGGGTACGATTCAACAGGACCGACTGCAAATATCTGGACTGGGCCCTGGGCGTTTTCTTTGAGCTTTTGTTTCGTAGAATTACCATTTATCGGGACATGGACTACTGTTTAAGAAAACGCTTTGAGTGAAGTCAAAGTTCTTAGTTTGAAATTGCTTGAACTCTGAGCAGAGGTGTATCAAATGGGGGCGGCAGTGATGCCCATGGCCAGTCCACGATTGGAGGTCCACCAGATTCCAGGCCGTGGTTTTCTTATCCAAGGGATCCTTACAGCATGCTCTCGCCGTATGTCTCCTCGCGGACGCACCGCTTGCTATCGTCGCTCACATCGTCGGGGATTTGGGGCGGGCCGGAAGGCCACGGGGCCAGGCGCCTACAGAGCGGGGCCCCCCGCGCGGCGACGCGACCGTGGGCGATTTGTTGAGGGCCTTCTTCCGCTTCTACGGCAGCCAGTTCGACTGGCGCACGGAGGCCGTGTCCGTGCGCGCCGGCAGGCGCGGGGCCCCGGACGCCAGGCTACCACTCCACATCATCTGCGACGAGGACGCCGGCCCAGCACGAAGGAGGCGTGCTGGGATCGGCGCGGGGGCCGCTGAGGGGATAGGGGAGTTGGCTGTGGATGCCAAGGTGTGTCGTGTCTGGCCTGACCTAGCTCATAAGTGGGTCACACCGGCTCCGAGTGACTCAGGGGCGTTCACGGACCGAACCAAGTGGGCTCCGCCCATTTCGCAGAGAGATCTCACCCCACCTGAGCGATTTGGAGCAGGTGTAATCCACTCTTAAGCTAGAGTAGGCCAGAAATACCTCGCCTTGGCATCCACTGATGACCCCCCAATTCCCTCAGCAAACCCCGCGCCGATCCCAGCGACCTTGCCCCAGACATGCTCGCGTCGTGGAAAAATCACGATGGGAGGTTTTGGCAGGTTTCGGCCTCCGGGGGCCCTCGCCATGCTCTGGGACAGTCAGGAAACGCCTCGGGTTGAAAAACCAGCCCCCCATGAAAGGGTCGGGACTTCTGGGGACCCCGTATTGAAAAGTCAAAACGTTGGATGTCCAGGGCGCTCGCGCTTGTGACGGAGGGCGCCCCGTGGCGAGAGACGGGCCACCACCCAGGCCCCGGAAGGGGGGGTTGGCGGAATGAGTTGCAGCGTTCAGGTTTCCATTCATCGTGGTGCAGTGTGTCGCACGGGGGGTGCAGCCGGGGGAGCATATGTAGCATGTGTTGGGCAGCCGCTTCGGCCAGGATTTGGTGAGAGATTGTTGGTGTCGACCCTGTGACGGAGGTGAAGTCCATTCGGTGGCAGCTTTGATCAGGCATACAGGGTATGGTGTTGCAGCCGAGGAGGGCGATGGCTGCTACAAATCTGGAGAGAGCTAGGGTGGGGGGCAAAGGGGACAGACTCTCAACCCCAAAATCTGGACGCCGCAGCCTTGAGAGCCTAGACGGCTCACATGCGATGTCGGCCGTTGGCCCCGCTCCTCCTTGGCGCTGCGCCCGTACATGTGCTCACTTGGGATTAGATCGGCGCGGGCCCTAGAAGTGAGTAGTAGGGTGATGAATTGCAAGTTGGGCGAAGCCTTTGATACTACACGGAAGCAATATCGGGGCTAGTCGCGGTAGTTGTGGCATCAGGGTTGTGTGGGAGGGGTCGGCGGGGCGGTTGTGCGCAGACTGTGGCAACGTCATTGCCGGTGCGTTCGGCGATCTTGCATCAGTAGTCGGAGAGAGGGGGGTGATACAGTGGAAACCCATGCCAAGAAACACCCTGCTTGCCTCCAGGGTGTCCTGGGTTTCTTGGATTTCGATGGTTTTGCTGTGGAAAGTGTGATGTGTCCCCACGCCAAAAATCAATGAACGTCCTGGGGTCTCAGGGTTGGGTTTCTTGCGGAAGGTTTCTTGTGGCCGAACTCCTGTTGCACCGAAGTGAAACGGAGGCCCCCAAACCCAGAACTCGGATTCCGGTGGCGGTTCGTGTCGCGCGTGACGTGCGGGCGAGGCGAGGCGAGGCAGCGCGAGTCCCTGCACTGGCCAGGCTCACGCCGCACCAAAAGGAGTCGCATCCTGGTCATCCAGGGCGTGCCCGGGGTTGCCCCGCGGCTGTCCTGTGGTTGTCACGATGGTTGCCGAACTATCGTGCTCGAAGTTATCCCGATGCTTGTCCCGAGGGTTGCCCCGATGGTTGTCCCGTCCGTGGATGTCCCGTGGTTACCCCGTGGTTGTCCCATTTTTTTTCTGAGGATGTCCCGTGGTTGTCTCGAGGTTGTCCCGCAGTTGTCCCGTGGTTGTTCCGTGGCCGTCCCGTGATTGTTCCGTGGTTGTGTTGAGAGTGTCCAGTGGTTGTCTCGTGGATGTCGCGCGGTTGTCCCGTGTTGCTTCCTTTTGGTATCCCGTGGTTGTCGCGTGGTGGTGCCGTGGTTGTCCCATGGTGGTTTTGGTGCTGTTCCGTGGTTTCCCTGTGGCTGCCTCGTGGTTGCCCCGCGGTTGTCCCACGATTGTCCCGCTGTTGCCCCAGGGCTGCCCCATGGTTGCCCCGTGGTCCTCTTGAAGTTGTCCCGTGGCTGTCCCGCAATTGTCCCGTGGCTGTCCCGTGGTTGTCCTCTTGTTGTTCCCTGGTTGTCCCGTGGTTGTCCCGTGGTTGTCCCGTGGTCGTCCCGTGGTCTTGTCCCGTGGTTGTCCCGTGGCTTTCCCGTGGCTTGCCCGTGGTTGTCCCGTGGTTGTCCCGTGGTTGTCGCGTGTCTGTTCCATATGTTCATCGGAGCCTGGGGGGGAGATCGAAGTGAAACGGAGACCCCCCTCCGGGAAATCAGTTTCGGTTTCGTGTTCGTGTCGCGCGTGCGGACGAGGCGAAGCTGGAGTGAACCCGCCGCTGCTACGGCGAAACCGGGCCAAATGATGTTGTGACCTCCCCCCGATTGGCCGGCGGTGGCCCGGGGGTGTCCCGATGGTGTCCAGATGGTGTCCCGATGGTGCCCCTATGGTGCTCCGATGGTGTTCCGATGGTGTCCCGATGGTGTCCACATGGTGCCCAGACGGTGTCCCGATGGCGTTTCGATGGTGTCCCGATGGTGCCCCAATGGTGTTCCAATGGTGTCCCGATGGTGTCCCAATGGTGTCCCAATGGTGTCCCGGGGTTATCCCGTTGGTGTCTCGATGGTGTCATTTATTTGCCCCCGCACTGTCTGCAGGTGCTTGATGGTGTCCCGATGGTGCCCCGATGGTGCCCCAATGGCATCTAAATGATCCTGTGGTTGTCCCGCGGTTGTCTCGCAGGTGTCCAGGTGATTGTTTGAGAGTTCTCCGATGGGTGTCGGGTGGGTGGGTGTATCGGGGTGTCGGCTGGTGCCCGGTTGGTGCCACCCCGTTGCTGCTTCGTTGTTGCCTCGTACGTTGGGTGGGTGTGTCGGGGTGTCTGCTGGTGTCTGGTTGGTGCCGCCTCGTGGGTTGGGTGGGTGTATCGGGGCTTCGCTTTGTGCCCAGTCGGTGCCGCCTCGTTGTTGCCTTGTGCACTGGGTCGGTGTGTCGGGGTGTCAGCGGGTGCCCCGTTGGTGCCGCCTCGTTGCCGCCTCGTGCGCTGGGTTGGTTTGTCGGGGTGTCAGTTGACGCCCAGTTGGTGCCGCCCCGTTGCTGTTTCGTTGCCGCCTCGTGAGCTGGGTTGGTGTGTCGAGGTTTCGACTGGTGCCCAGTTGGAGCCGGCTCGTTGCCACCTCGTTGCTGCCTCGTGAGCCGAATGGGTGTGTCGGGGTTTAGGCTGGTGGTGCCCGGTTGGTGTTGCCTCTTTGTTACCTCGTGCGTTGGGCGGGTGTGTCGAGGTGTTGGCTTGCCCAGTAGGTACTTGCCGCCCCGTTGCTGCCTCGTTGCCGCCTCGTGCGCTGTGCAGGTGTGTCAGGGTTTCGGTTGACGCCCCGTTGATGCCGCCTCGTTGCCGCCTTGTCGGGTGAGCGGGTGTGTCGGGGTTCTGGTTGGTGCCTGGCTGGTGCCGCCTCTCTACGCTTCTTTGCTGCCTCGTCGCCGCCTCGTGAGCTGGATGGGTGTGTCGGGGTGTCGGCTGGTGCCGGGTTGGTGCCGCCGCGTTGCCGCATCCCTCGCCGTGTAGCTTGCACCACATAGCTTGCACATCGATTGTGCAGTAACTTGCTGTGTAGGTTCCACGCTGACAAGCCTTGATTCAATTGATGTGTTGATTGTGATGTCGATTGTCAGACAGAGAGTGGAACTGGTAGATAGTGACACTGATCGGTATCTCGGTAGCGGGATCGATGGATAGACAGTGAGATTGAGAGGTCGGGAGAACGATGGATAGATATCGATATCGCCAGATGGATATATCACAAATCCGATCCGACGCCAATCGCAAACCGAAAGTTATACCCGTCCCTCCCAACCTGACTACCCGAAGGGTGATCCTATTGATATGTTATGTGATTCGAGGTGCGTGTGTTGTTCGCACTTGACTTCATGTGTGCACGTTTCGCTGGCCTCTGAAAGGAGGGGCAGGCGCCACTGGCGGGACCGAGCGTCGAGGACCCGTTCGACGTCAACGTCAACTTGGGCACGTGCATGACGTCGGCCAGTTTGCAGCACCTGCGCCAGGAGCGCAGCGCCTGGATCATTAAAACAAGACAGCGCCCACCAAGTCGTCCCGAAACGAATTGTTCGGGCGGTTGGTCTCCGCTTACTCCAGGCATATTTCATCAGGGCCACGGCCCGACCAATGCATGGTCTGTTATGGTCGTTTGCCCTTCGGCTCCTCCGAATCCCGCTCAGAGCGATCTGTGCGCACGGTGGCGCACCTGGAAGGCTCCATGTGACGCTCAGCTGCCCCAGCGGGTCCTGGAGCTGGCCGCTGAGTCCAGCTCTGGTCTTGGACGCTCCTGCTCTGCTGGAAGCTGTTTGCTTGCGCGCCCTGGACTGCGTGAGGCCTCTTACTCGGCCGTCACCGCGGTCTTTCGCAGGGTGGTGCCGCTTCGGGCTGCGCACGGACAGCCCCCCCAGGTGGACCCGGCTGGCCTCAACCGGCCCCCCGAGTAGTCCCAGCTGGCCTCAGACCTCAACAGGTCTGTACGGTACCCGAAAGCCTGGCCTCACAGTGAGAGCCGGCCCGAGACGGGCCAACACTCGGCCAGGAGTCTTGGGAAAAGGTCCTCGAAGTGGTTGTTGATCTTTGAGGCCCATGAGAGTTGATGGGAAATGGGAGGAAGAGACACATGTAGTGAACAAAGCGGGCAACGATGGTGAACTGAGATGCGGAGATGGAGAGGGAGGAGAAGAAGGAGGATATGGACGGCGACAAGAGGACGAGGAGGGGAGGAGAAGAAAAAAGTACAAATGGAAGAGGAGGACAAGGACGAGGAGAACGACGGGAGCAAGGACGAGGAGGAGGACGAAGACGAGGACGAGGAGGATGACGAGGAAGAGGACGAGGACGAAAAGGATGACGGGGAGGAGGAAGAGGAGGAGGAGAGGAGGAGGAGAGGAGGAGGAGAGGACGAGGAGGACGAGGACGGAGATTCTGGCAGCTATCTTGGGGTCTTCTTGAGGCCCTCTTGGGGTCCTCTTGGGGCTCTCTCGGGGCTCTCTTGGGGCCCTCTTGGGGTTCGTTTAGGGTGTCTTGAGATCCTCTTGGGACTCTTTGGGTGGGTCTTGGGGCTCTCTTGGGAGCCTTGGAGGACCTCCTGGGGCCATCTTTGAAGCCATCCATCAAAACGGAGGGTCCCCGATCTAGGTTCTTCCTCTGGGGCCCTCAAAGTCGCCCTTGGGGCGCTCTTGGGTGCTCTTGAGGCCGTCTCGGGGGCCTCTAGGGCCCCACTGGGCCTCTCTTGGGCAATCTCGGGGCCATCTTGAGGCCCTAGAAGCATCGCAAGTGAAAAGGCAAGAAGGCAACGATCAGTGAATTTCCATTGGTTTTGAAAGGGTGTTGGCCTCTTGGGGGGTCCCGATGGGACTTCCAGGGCACTTGGAACCGTCTTCTGGCCCTCTTTGGGCCTCTTGGGACAATCCTGAGTGATCTTGCGCTATCTTGAGCCATCTTGGAGGCCATCTTGGAGCATTGGAGGCCCTCTGGGAGACACATTGGGCACAAAAAGACCCTCTGCCACCTCGCGGCCCCCCTCCGCGAACAGAAACAGTGAGGGGAGGGGGGAGGGCACCCCTCCCCGAAGGGAAGAAGGGCTTTGGAAGAGGGAAGCAACAACATCTTTAGAGCACCTACGCCTGGAGGGCTGGTGAGATTGGATGAGTTCGGCGAGGTTTCAACACGATGCGGCCCGTTGACTTCTCGTTGCCGCCTCGTGCGCTGGGTGGGTTCGGCGAGGTTTCGCAACGTTGCCGCCCATTACCGCTTCGTTACCGCCTCGTGCGCTGGGTGGGTCCGGCGAGGTTTTGCCACGTTGCCACCCATTGCCGCTTCGTTGCCACCTTCAGCTTGCACCACGTACACTAGACCACATAGGTTACACCACATAGCTTGCACCACATAGCTTGCACCGCGTAGCTTACACAGCCACAGTGCAATATCTCATTGTTTGGGGTACACGCTGGCTAACATGTCTTTAGTCGCATGGTCGCGTTAGACCTCTGGAGTCCGATTTGTTTCGCGGCCCTGGCCCTGTCTTACAGAAGTGAAGATGTTTATAATGTTGATGCCGATGCCCAGACATGCGATGTCTTGGTTTTTCCTAACCATCCTGTGGTGTTGGGCCCTCGTTTTGAAGAGACAGCGCCCCGCGTTCCTCCTCCGATGCCCCCTCCACCCATCCCTGCCCCCTGCCCTCCGCAGCAAGTGCAGCGGCTGGTGGCCCCATACGGAGCTCCACCGAAGGCCCCAGTGGCAGCGCAGGCATGCAGTTCCACCCCCTGTCAACACTTTACATTTTTCGTGGGCCCATAGGCCATAGGGAGCTCCACCGAAGGCGCCAGTGACAGCGCCCGCATGCGGTTCCACCCCAATTTCGGTGCACCACTCACACGTTTCGTGGCCCCATGGGGAGCTCCACCGAGGGCCCCAGTGGCAGCGCCCGCATGCAGTTCCACCCTCCATCACGGCACACCCCTCACGCGCTTCGCGGCCCCATGGGGAGCTATACCGAGGGCCCCAGTGGCAGCGCCCGCAGGCAGTTCCACCCATCCTTCATTTCTGTGCACCCCTCACACGTTTCGTGGCCCCATAGGGGGTCCCACCGAAGGCTGCAGTGACAGCGCCCGCATGCGGTTCAACATTCCATGTCCGCGAACCCCTCACGCGTGTCGTGGCCCCATAGGAAGGTCCACCGAAGGCCCCAGTGACGGTGCCCGCACGGCGGTCCCGCCACACTTCGGCACAACCTTCACACGCTTCGTGGCCTCATCAGAAGATCCACCGACGGCAATACTCACAACGACGGCACCCACAACTGCACATGGCAGGGCCCTTCGCCAGGCTAATTTGAATACAGGGTCCCCAGAATTCCCGCCCGACCCTTTCCCCAGGGCCAGTTTTGCATCCCGAGCCGTTTTTTGGAAGTCTTGGGGCCCGGCGAGAGCCCCTGGAGGCCGAAAGCGGCAAAAATCTGCTCGTCGTGGTTTGTTTCACGACGACGGTGGTTTCCGGGTCACAGTTCGGGCCTCCCGCGGCCGCTCGAGACGATCCAGACGCCCCCAGAACGCCCTCAGCGAGGCCGGAAATTCGCCGAGACGTCCGAAGTGCTTCCGTCGTGATCTCCCCTCGCGACGCGAACAGATGAGGAGGAGGAGGAGGAGGAGGAGGAGGAGGAGGAGGAGGAGGAGGAGGAGGAGGAGGAGGAGGAGGAGGAGGAGGAGGAGGAGGAGGAGGAGGAGAGGAGAAGAAGGAGGAGGAGGAGGAGGAGGACGACGAGGAGGAGGAGGAGGAGGCGGGGGAGGAGGAGGAGGGGGAGGAGGGAAGGAGGAGGAGGAGGAGGAGGAGGGAAGAGGAGGAGGAGGGGAGGAGGAGGAGGTGGAGGAGGAGGAGGAGGAGGAGGAGGAGGAGGAGGGAGGAGGAGGAGGGAGGAAGGAGGAGGGGAGGGGAGGAGGAGGAGGAGGAGAGGAGGAGGAGGAGGAGGAGGAGGAAGAGGAGGAGGGAGGAGGAGGGAGGGGAGGAGGAGGAGGAGAGGAGGAGGAGGAGGAGGAGGAGAGGAGGAGGAGAGAGGAGGAGGAGGAGGAGGAGGAGGAGGAGAGGAGGAGGAGGAGGAGGAGGAGGAGGAGGAGGAGGAGGAGAGCAGGAGGAGGGAGGAGGAGGAGGGAGGAGGAGGAGGAGGAGGAGGAGGAGGAGGAGGAGGAGGAGGAGGAGGAGGAGGAGGAGCGGACCCCCAGGAGTTCGAGCGCGCGGAGCGCATCTGCGCCGGGGGCGCCTCGCTCGCGGAGCTGCTGCAGCCCTGGGCCCCGCAGGCCGAGGGCGGCGCCGAGGGCGCCGCCTCCGCGGAGTGAGGGCCCCGCGGGCGCGCCGCGGTGAGCCGGGCGGGCGCCGCTCGGCGGCGCGCCCCAGGGGGGGGAGTCTTCCTTCTCCTCCTCCTCCTCCTCCTCCGTAGCCATTTTGGCTCAAGATGCATGTTCCCCCAAGGAGACAAACGGATACCGCTAGTCCGCGGCAGTGCCAGAGGGTTTGCGCTCGACGTCCCTCGCCTCCAGTGCCTTTCAACCCTCCCAGATGTCCGATGGCAGCCGCAGTGTCTCGCCTGGTGCTCGCGTTTGTTGCTGGCCCAGACGGGCCCGTCTCTTCCCCTGAAGGCCGCTATCGTACATTGTGTGGCTACTGGAAGCCTGCCTTCTCGGCGAAGCCATCTGCTGAGTCGGCGACGCAAGTGTACCTCTATCGATTTCTGAAACCAGCGCAGGACCTCCAGGTTGCCGCCCCGCTGGTCCCACTTTTCAAGAAAGCTGCCCAGAAAGCTAAGCATTCAACCCCTGGTGGACGGGCTACAGTATGCTGCATAGGCCGCGGTTGACTTCGGCCCTCACCAACTTGCCTCTATGTTCAGCTGGCTATGTCAGGGGCAGGCTCTATTCGACGGTGCCAGCGTCACCCTGCAAGTCTTCCTCCCCAGGGGCTCCGAGGCCTCCGACGCAGCGGGTGGGGCCTGCGAGAGGTATCCTGATCGGGTTTGGGTACTGGGCCTTCGCAATACTGGCATGAAGCTTTTGAGCTCGGTTGCGAATATCATCCTGACGCCAGTCGTGGACTTTGTGGCCCCGCCTTCGCAGCGTGGATTTATTTGCGGGCGCAAAGTAACTTTGGATATAATATTATTTCGCTCGACGCCCTGGGCCGCGCAGCCTCTCAACACCTTCTCGCTCGAAACAAGTTCCCGACCCTGCTTGGCTTTGACTGCGGCCAGGCCTTCCCCGGCCTCCCCCAGCCCCCCCCCCACGCAGCCCGTGGGCGCCCTGGGGCTATGCGAGGCGCTCCTCTCCTTCATCGGATTCCTGTATGAAGCCGCTCAAGGGGTCATTGCGGACGGGGGCACTCTGGTGGAAGTTCTTCTGGCTGAGATCTGGGATCATCCAAGGACGTGGCCTCTCAGGCTCCCTGCGCGCTCTGGCACCTGCCCCGATGCTCCAGGACCTGGAAACGAACCTGGATGGAGAAGGTAAAGGGCTTGGCCAGGCGTGTGATGACTTCTTGGGAGTGGTCTTGTTCGAGCTTGCCTTTATCAAGATCGTCCTTGAGGTTCTCCAGACCATGAAGCTGATCGCGAGACTCTCGATAAATATTAGTAAGTGCACTGCGGTTCCGCTTGCGGGCTCGATCTCTGAGGCTCTCCGAGTCGAAGTTCGGGATCTCCCGGGCCGCTATATTCCTGAATGGGCGGAGTTTGTGATTGAGGTCTGCTGCATCTTGACATCTGGCTCGGACCTAGCGCCACTGTTGAACGGCGCTGGCGTGACCCACCCGCCAATGTTCGCAGAGGAAGTCGCATGCTCAGCCTCGCCGGCGCAGCAAGTAACGTCAATTCCACACTGTGCCGTACCCGAGTTAATTCTGTCGTGTCTCATGTCTCCCTGTTTGTTCCGACGCCGCCCTCTTTCCTCGCGTTCGAGAGAGGCGTCGTCTCGCAGTTCCTGAGGTGCCCGCCCGGCATGACCAGCAATGAAGCTGTACCCGAACTTCAATGTTGGGGGGGGGGGGGGGGCGCGGCCGCCCTCGCGGGCCGCGCATGCTGCCGCTGCACAGCGCAGAGCTGCGGCCGCCACCTTCCGCGGCACCCCGCCCTACCTCGACCAGATGAAGGCCATGGCGATCGGCTGACGACAGGAAGTTGCCGACGGACACTTCGATGACACTCCTCTCTCTGCCACCCTGCGGACGCATTCGTACCCCAGGTTCTGGAAGCACCTGCGTTCGTTGAGAACCTCGACGGCGTGCTCCATCTCTCCTCCGACGACTGGGCGGTTGCCGCTCGCTCCTCCCCCGCGGATGAGCCGCTCAGCGCTGGCCGACGCCCTCGACCCTGACCTGCTGTTGCCGCCACTCTTTCGGGCCTTCTCGCAGAGGAGCGCGCGCTGAGCCGTGCCCTCGTGCGTGACCTGAACAGAGTTCTGCGCGACTACGAGCCCCTCTCGACTCGCGCCCGCTGGGATTAGATTCGCGAGCTCACGCGCCCCCTCCCGCAGGGCTGGGCCACGGGACTTGGGCCAACGGCTGGCTGACCTCAGCCCGCATCGCACGCCCCAGCTGGCGCACAACCTCGCGCGCCCGCGGCTCCGCCACGCTACGGGTCGAGCGCTTGGTCGGGGCCCCCCGACTTCGCCCCCTGAACGCTTGGGCCTCGCAGAGCCCAAGCCCGAAAGGTTTGAGGAGATGTTTGCGCGTGGCTTACCAGATCTTTAACATGTCCAGGGAGCGCGGTGGCACCTGTGCCCCCAGAACCCTTTCCTCGCTGGCAGCGGCTGCAGCGCGATCTCTGCGTCTCTCGCGCCCTGCGCAGTTGCCGCTGGAATGGGGCCCACCGCCGAGGGCGCTTATTGGCTCCACTCGTTGCCACAGTATTTCATCGACGTCCGATTCCAGCGCGTCTTCCGACTCCAGCTCTTCGGACCCCGACAGCAGCGCACCTCGCCACGGCCGACCCTTTCCTGTACCTGCCGAAGGCCCCGGGGGAGGTGTGGCCGTGGATTCGTCTTCGCCGATTTGCTCGTCAGCTCCTATTGCGTGTTTTCCGACGATTTCGTCGCCGCGTGGACCAGGAGTTGGGGGCGCCCTCAGATTGCTTCACCCAGAACCTCGCAGGGGTCAGCGTCTTGCCCCAACCCCTTGCCCCGACGTGCTCAGTTAGAGCGCAAGTCCCGTCGTTGGCGTCGGGCTCGCTGTCGCCACCTGCTGGAGGCAAGTCGCTTTCCTCGTCGGGCGCATGCGCGGGCGTTAGATCGCAAGTCCCGTTGTCGCCTTCGGGCTCGCCGTCGCCTTCTCCTGCTGGATTCTTCGTGGAGTCTCCCACGGCAGGCGTTAGAATGCAAGTTCCGTTGTCGTGTGTTGGGCTCGCCGTCGCCGCTTTGCGGATGCCTCGATGACGGCCGGCTGGCCCCTGGCGTTAGATCGCAAGTCCCGTTGTCGCGTTCGGGCGCTACGTCGCCACGCACTGATGTTTCTGGCGCCAGCCAGTCGACGGCGATGGCAGCGCGCGGTCCGCTTGCCTCGACGTCATAAATTGCTGCGGGGGCTCCGATTTCGAGGCCTGCGTCGACCTCGACCAGTGGTGCAATGGCGAGGCCGACTCCCTGGGGGGTAATGCATGGCGTCGGTCCGTCGACCTCGGTGGCGACGTGCGGACCTATTGACTCGTCGACGCCGACGGCTGCGTGCGCGCCGATTGCCCCGTCGACGGCGATCTCGCCCTGTGGATCAGTGGTTTTGCCTCCTGTAGCAGCCCTTCGCCCCGCGCGAGCCCCCCCTGTCCCTGCTCGCACGTTTCCGCCCCATCAGATCTTGTCTGCTCCTCCCCACACGTCGCTATCGCGACCAAATTTCTCCACTTGTCCAGTGTATGATATCCAGCCCCTGCGCGCTCCTCTCCCCCGCCCCTCGACGTCTGGCGCTCGCGCCCCAAGCCGTGGAGATCCGTTGCATCGCGCTCCGAATGTCGCTGCTCGTGTCCTTCCCACGCCTGCCCCGATCGTCGCTGGCTGCGGCCGAGCTGGCCGCGCGACCCCCCCCCTCTCCTTGTCCTTCGCCCCCGAGGCCTGCTTGTGCCCATGCGTGCCCCCCGCCTGCTACCCCTTTTATTGTGTCTTTTCACTCGCCCCTGTCTCCCTCCCCGATTCAAATAGTCCCGATTGAAATACATCGGCCGCCGTGCACGTCTACGGCCGCGCCGACTTCGTGGGCAGCAGGAGGCGCGCCCACGCCCACCCGAGGCGCCCACCCGAGGCGCCGCCCCCATCGCCTGGCCGCTTCGACTAGGTGGACTCGGACTCCCCTCTTTACGCTCGTCTCCTCCTCCTCCCCCTCCTCCTCCTCTTCCTCCTCCTCTTCCTCCTCCTCCTCCTCCTCCTCCCCCATCCTCCTCCACTTCGTCCCCTCCTCCTCCTCCCCCCTCCCCCCCCTCCTCCCCCTCCTCTTCCTCCTCCCCCTCCCCTCCCCCTCCTCTCCTCCTCCTCCCCCCCCCCTCCACCCTCCTCCCGAGGCGCCGCTCGGGGGGGGGGGGGGGGGGGCGGGAGAGGTTCCCCCTATTCCCTTCCGTCGTTGAAAGCAGTTAGCGTGGGACTCGCAATACCCAGTACCTTCTGGCCGCCTTCTTACTTCAAGCGTCGAGGGGCCCTCCCTCTTCCCTCCACTTCAGGGGGCGGGCGGAGACCCAATATATTTCCAACGCCTCCCTATGTCATGTTTCTACGTATTTTGTCCGACCAATGGGCGCCCCTACCACTGCATTTCTCGAAGAGGAGAAAACGGCATAAACCTTAACTTTTAGCGCTTCGCGCGGAGTTTTTGGATCCGCCCCGGGCCCCCAAGCGGCGCCTCGGGCGTCGTCCCCGGCGCGTTCCGCGCGCCAGGGGGGGGGGGGGTCCAGCGCAGATCCAAGAGTTCCGCGCGGAGCGCCAAAAGGTTATGTTCATGTAGTTGTTTCTTTTTCTACTACCGCTACGCTTCGCCCGTTTTCCCCGCGTTGGGTTTCCTGGGAGGCCCTCGTAGCCACCGCCGAATTCGCTTCGAAGTTTTCTGGGCGGAAGGCACCCACGGAGAGGTCTGGGGGGCAGCAGTGCATTGGTACCTTCTGGTTTCCCCGGGGAGGGGGGGGGGGGGGGGGCTTGGGTGTTGATGTAATATCTGGCCAAACCTATCAGAATGGTCACACGTGCCCCAAGTGGCTCAGAAGGTGAGAGAACTCCGCAAAGTGGGCGGAGCTCTCGTATCCCAGATCGCTAACCCTCCTAAGCCACTTGAGCCATTCGTAGTCCATTAATTTAGCAAGGTTAGGCCAGATGTCACC